CTTTGACCTCTAGGGTAGGGCTCTAACCCCTATTTCACAGAAGGACTGTATGATTCTTATTTCCTAGATCCCAGTTTGCTGGAGGAGAAAAGAATCAAAGTGCAGGTTTAGCAGCAGAATGAGGGAACTCCCAAATCCAAGATCCCAGCCAACCCATACCACGAGTGGAGAGTGGGAGTCTGTCTCCTCTGGCTCAACTCATAGCTCAAATGAAAGAACATGTCCCTTCCAGATGAATCACTGCTTTACAGACAAGCAAAACACTTGAAGACTGACACTGTGACCACAAGTCAGCCCTCTGAGGGAAGGGGAACCAGAAAGGCTTGGAAAGGGAGATTGGAGAAAGTGAGGGGCTGAACACTGACAGTTAACTGCAGCTGTGTCTAATGCTCCCTCTTTCTGTTCTGTCTCATTTGGAGTCTTTGTTTCAATTTCAGTCCACAGTGAGCTTCTTAAAGGAATTAGGCACAGTTCAGGCCAGGACTGTAAACAACTCTCTTCCATGTCTCTCTTTCCTTCCTGGCGGGGCCTGGTGTAGAAGAAGAGAGATTGATATCCAACATTACTAGATTGATATCCAACATTGATTCCCAACTAGGCTTAGGATTTATTCTTTTTTTTTCTTTTTCAGGCAAATGTTGAACATCTGGTGCAAAAGATGAAAACAACTGTGAAAAGGGGCTTGGTGTTAAGGTACTTCATCCGTGGTTTGCTCCTAAGTGAAGAAGGAAAATAAGCTTTGGCTCAAACCTATAGAATGGCCATGGTTGGGACACTCTGAGGAATCCGTAGATATAAAGGGAGGGGGCCAGCCTTTCCCTTGAACCCTGGGAGGAGATAAAAATTGAAAGGAAAGAACAAAGGCAGAAAGGGGAGGTTGGGGAGGCAACCACAGAGTCACAGGCTTTTGGTCTCCACCTGGCAGGAATGAAAAGTGCAATGAGAACTATACCACTGACTTCATTTTCAACCTGTACTCCGAGGAGGGAAAGGGCATCTTCGACAGCAGGAAGAATGTGCTTGGTCACATGCAGCAGGTAGGAAAGACACCCTAGTTAGGCCATTCATCAGACAGCCGTACCTGCCAGCAGCCACTGAGGCTTCCACTGGCCTTTTCCAATCTTCTGGAGGAGGCTGTCAGTGCCATCATAGAGCATGGGCCTGCAGTCTCTTACAGTCATAGAATCAAAACATCTTCATCCTGGAAATAACCTTAGAGATTATATGGGCCATCCTTTTCATTTAGGGCAGGGTTTTTCAACCGTGGCAGCTTTGCCTTGTGGGGCTGGATGATAATTTGTCAGGGGTAGCTGTTTATGCACCGTAGGACAGTTGTGCAGCATCCCTGGTCTCTATCCACTAGATGCCAGCAGCATCTCCCTCTCACTCCCAGTTGCAACAAAAATGTCACCAAACATTCCCACTTTCCTACCTGCTTCCTCTTAGTTCAAAGGAAATCTGTATGATGTTTTATATTCTGAGGTGCTACCAGGGACAGCCAGATTGGGCCACAAAAAAACACTTTTATGTCATCAATGACAAGAGGGGCAGGCAACTGACCTGTTGGCCAAGAAGACTAAAATGTGATTTGGCAGCTATGGAGATGAAAGAGGGGATTGTGTGGCCAATCATTTTCTTTAATTAGTTACTCTTCTATCTGATAAATGGCCAAATGTGCTGGGCCAGCTTGCCTTGGATCCTGGCGCTGCCTCGGGACACCCTTTCATAGTTTGACTTCTGGATTCCTGTTTTGGGCTGTAAACCTGAGGCCCATCTTTCCTTTTTCTCTGTGTATCTAGGTATCTCTGCCACTTCATTAGAGTCCTTCCCTCTGTAATTTTTATGTTTCTTTCTCCAGGGTGGGAGCCCAACTCCATTTGATAGGAATTTTGCCACTAAGATGGGCGCCAAGGCTATGAATTGGATGTCTGGGAAAATCAAAGAGAGTTACCGTAATGGTAGGTGGAGTGAGAGAGCGAGCGCCTTCTATAGAGGCTGGTTTCCCAGTATAGAAGCTGACTGACCATCCCTTATTGCAGGGCGGATTTTTGCCAATACTCCAGACTCTGGCTGTGTTCTAGGGATGCGTAAGAGGGCCCTGGTCTTCCAACCAGTGACTGAGCTGAAGGACCAGACAGATTTTGAGTGAGTACATTTGCTTTCTGGGGTGGTTCTCTCCCTGGTGGTTTCAAGCTCTACTGTCCTCAACCTGATCACTATCTTTAATACTTTTTTTAAAGAAGTAATACCTGTATTCTTACCCATTTCAGATCTGATGTATATGTCCTAAATCCAACCTTTTCTGTCTAACTTCTTCCTATAAACCTTTGGTAGAAGTTGATTGGGGAGCTAAAAGACTATCATCATCTACCTCACTCCTCTGTAGGCATCGAATCCCCAAGGAACAGTGGTGGCTGAAACTGAGGCCCATCCTCAAAATCCTGGCCAAGTACGAGATTGATTTGGACACCTCAGACCATGCCCACCTGGAGCACATCAGTCGGAAGCGGTCTGGGGAAGCTGGTGTCTAAACCTCTCTGGAGTGAGGGTAACAGATTACCTGATCATGGTCAGCTCAACCCCTGATAAGTCCACATCTTGTCAGTGTTTTAGCTATTTTTTTTCATTAGGTTTCCTTTTATTCTGTACCTTGCAGCCATGATCAGTTCTGGCCAGGAGCTGGAAGAGGGGGCACTGGATGGAAGCTCCTTTTAGGTAGAATTTAACATGACTTCTACCCCAGCTTCATCTGTCACACAAGGCTGGGCATCTCTAGTGCTACTGCTAGATATCACTTACTCAGTTAGAATTTTCCGAAAAATAAGCTTTATTTATTTCTTTGTGATAACAAAGAGTCCTAGTTCCTCTACTACTTTTACTACGGTGACAAATTGTAACTACACTAATAAATGCCAACTGGTCACTGTGCTTTTGCTTCTCCTGTTATCTTCCCAAGTGGAATGTAATACTGTCAGCCCCATGTGTCAGACACTTGCCTGATGAAGCAGTAAAGACATTCAGGATATCACAGGGGTTGAAGGAAGGGATTATCTCTAGTATACTACTTGCTGGCAGTGCAAAAAATTATCACTGCCAAACTGTAAAAACAGTTCTAAATAGTGGCTGAGAAGGTTTGTTGCTGGAGTCAGGGATTAAGGCAGCCATATCCTCTTTGCACAGTTTTTTTTTTTTTTAAGACGGGGTTTCACCATGTTGGTCAGGCTGGTCTTGAACTCCCGACCTCAGGTGATCCGCCCGCCTTGGCCTCCAAAGTGCTTAGATTACAGGCTTGAGCCACCACACCCGGCCATACAGTTCTTTAGTGGGAAGAGAAATGAACAATAAATATCAAGCACTATGCTAGGCATTTCATCATTGAATCCTCAAAATAGCTTTTGGAAGGCAATGGTGACAGCCTGACTTCAGAAAGGAGGACACTGGAGCTCAAGGTGATTGATGACATAATGTCTCCTTCGGTATTATTCAAGTAGAGCTCAAACTCTGAAGTTCTGACTTCAAAGCTTATCTTCATTCCCCATGCCTCTGCTTCCTTACCATGCCATATCAAATCCCCAAAGCCGTAAGGCCTATGAAAATGAAGTGAAAGGGGAACTTCAGGCATTCATTCAGAACATTTTAAATGCTAATTGCCATTGATTTATAGGATCTCTTTACTATCTTTCATCTTAGAGCTGTTTCCTTGAGAAAATGAAGAGGGAAGGATGGATGGGGGTAAAGCTAATCAGAGGGAATATGTCACTCTGTAAAGAGTAAAAAATTGAGAATGATGATACTATCTAGGAAAAAAAAAGGCGTAGTGAAGATGACTTAAAAACAAAAAAAAATCAGCCAGGTGTGGTGGCTCATGCCTGTAATCCCAAGGCTTTGGGAGGCCAAGGCAAGGCAGATCATGAGGTCAGGAGATTGAGCCCATCCTGGCTAACACAGTGAAACCCTGTCTCTACTAAAAATACCACAAAAAAAAAAAAAAAAAAAAAATTAGCTGGGCATGGTGGCATGTGCCTCTAGTCCCAGCTACTTGGGAGGCTGAGGCAGGAGAATTGCTTGAACCCAGGAGGCGGAACTGCACTCCAGCCTAGGCAACAGAGTGATGCTGTCTCAAAACAAAAACCTGTGATGGTGCATGCTGTTTCCCCACAGCTAAAAAGATAAGTGCAATTGTGTTTAAACTCTTAAGTGGAGGTGAAGCAGAATTTATTAGCCACCAACCACAAGTGATTATGAAATAACTGAGAAACAGGTAATATTTTTCCTACATGGCCAAAACTTTCTTTTTCCAGAATATTAAGTCTCCATGATGAGAAATAGCATATAAAGCAGTTTATAAATCTAACAGAATATTAGAATCACCTGGCACCTTTGAACATACTCATGCCCAGGTCTACTTTATTTTTTTTGTAGAGATGGGGACCTCAACTCCTGGTCTAAAATGATCTTTTTACTTGAGCCTCCTAAAGTGTTAGGATTATAGGCATGAGCCACTGCACCCAACCCTACCAGGTCTGCTTTGGACCAATTAAATCAATCTCTGGGGGTGGAGCCTTGGCTTCAGTATTTTTAAAATTTTTCCTAGGTGGTTTCAATAACTAGGCTTGAGAACTACTGACTAAAGCAGTGGGATCTCATTCCTGGCTACATTCGAAGCATTTGAAGCACTCAAGCCCCCAGCCCTACCCCAAAAAATTCCAAAGAATTGGTATGAGGTGAAATCTTGGCACCAGTGTTTTCAAAAAGCTTCCTTGGTCATTTTATGTGCAGCCGGAGTCGAGAACTTAAAGCAGTAATTCCAACTTTGTGGTAGGAAGGGGCAGCTCTTCAGATACTCTGCCCAAGCCCTCCTGTTCACTCCAACAAGGCCCAGAATCACTGTTGCTAACGGGAGAAAGGTTGGGGTGCAAAGTTATATTGAAGAGCCAGGCAGTAAATGAACTTTTTCTGAGGGAGGTTGGGGAAAAGTAGGAAAAGTAGAAATTGCCAACTTGCTTTTAGAACTATTTATTCTTTATTTTTTAAATGGTGTTTTTTAAACACCAGTAGTAATAGGACAAAAGCAGACATCTGTTTTCCAATTAGCTGTGTCAGTAGATTCCATTCATTGTAGTTCCCAATCAACTTTTAAAAAAAAGTTTTTCAAGTTTGCATATAAGTCATCTAAAATCAGTAACAACTTGATCTAGTATAGCAACATGAAATGACAGAGTATTGTTCACTAAAGCAGATCTCTTTTGGGTAGATGGACCATCACAAAAGAAGCTCTTCTATGCTTTTTCCACCCCCATCCCAACTCTACCTTCTCACCAATGTATTGTATAAATCAGTAAAAAGCAAAGTTTCCAAAACAGCTGAAAGAAAAGTAACTCCAAACTGCAAGCAGAGTGAACTTTCCATTGGGAATGAAGACCCATGGGAAAAGGCAGCCCAGCCCATAACTCTTCCTTGCTGGAACAAACACCATAGGTGTAGGAACTGCCTGCAAAGCCCTTTAGAACAGACTGGCTCTCAAGAAGAGAAAGAGCTGCATTAGAAGCTAAGTTCTCAGGACTGCTTAGAACCTGCTTTCTCTTCTATAAGGAAAGCAGCAAGATAATCTCTGAAACAGTAGTAATACAGCTATGTATTACTGTTATTAGAGCTATGTTATTTCAGAGCTACTGTGGCCCTTGGGCACAACCATGAGAAAGAGGCAAAGTCTGCTGTTTCCTTTGATGAGGGGAAAGAGGTCAGTCCCTTCCAAATGCCCAAGGACATGGCACACTAGGGATGTCATCTAGCCCAGTTCTGAATTTGCACCATTTGAGGTTACAGTATCTTCATCTTTGGGATGCAATTGTGTTAGCTGAATTTGTGATTTTTCTTAAACTTCACAGATTTTTTTTTTTTTTTTTTTTTTGAGATGGAGTTTCACTCTTGTTGCCTAGGCTAGAGTGCAATGGCACAATCTCAGCTCACTGCAGCCTCTGCCTCCTGGGTTCAAGTGATTCTCCTGTCTCAGCCTCCCGAGTAGCTGGGATTACAGGCGTCTGTCACCACGCCCAGCTAGTTTTTGTATTTTTAGTAGAGACGGGGTTTCATCATATTGGTCAGGCTGGTCTCAAACTCCTGACCTCAGGTGATCTGCCCACCTCGGCCTCCCAAAACGTTGGGATTGATTACAGGCATGAGCCACTGCACTCGACCTAAAATGCTTTCTAGAGGGAATTTTTCTGGACCATTAACCATGTCCCCAAAGGAAAACCACACACATATTCTCTAAGTACTTTCCATCTTCCTAGAGAAATTTAGTTGCACTGCTGACTCCTTTCCTAAGGGGAGGATTGAGGGAGACCTCTTCTTTTGCAAAGGGCAATATAAAAAGGCAAGTAAGCAATAAACAGAAAATAAAAGTAAGGGATTCTTTTTGTTTGGCTGTTTGGTTTGGGGAGGGGAAGTGGTATGGAGGTTACCATTGTGACATGTTGCTTTGAAATCTATAAACCACACAACAGGAACAACTGTTTTTCTGTTTTCTGTGACAAAGTGTACTGCAGGTACAACCTCACCCAGAGTGGCCTGCATGATGATGCAAACATCTTCTCTGGGCTATTCTAAAAGTAACAGGTATTCTTTCAAGGAAGCTGGCAGTGGAAGGCCCTTCACTGCATCTGGCAGATACTGGAGTCCCAGGCTATGGCGCACAGCATAGCGAGCAAGTGTTTTTAGAGTTCCTGGGGCTGAGCACAGAACAGTCAGTTTTTCACACAGCTGCTGATCTCTGGCCACCTCCCGTGGCATGGTACCATTTTTCCTCAATTCAAAATGTCCAACGGCTCTGTGGAGAAGCTCAAAGCAAGAGTCCTCTTTCTCTGTTCCAAGTCCCCTGACTAGCAGAGCCACCAGGCGGGAGATGGGTGTCTGGCCTATTAGGTTGATGACTCTGACCTCTGCGCCATAATCCAGAAGGATGCTGACACTCTCAAGATTTCCCTTCATGGCAGCCCAGCTGAGTGGTGTATCATTGTTGTAATCCAGGGCATTGACAGAAGCCCCACTCTCTAGGAGAGCCCGCACACACTCAGCATTGTTCTTAAAGGCTGCCCAGTGAAGTGGGGTATCTCTGTTGCCATCCAAAGCATTGGGGTTTGCACCATACTCCAGTAGGACCTCCACACAAGCCTCATCTTTCTCTGCTGCATAGTGGAGGGCTGTTCGGTTATACCCATCCAGGGCATTCACCTGTAAAAAGGGAGGAACTATTACAGCAGACAGACTACTGAGGAAGACAGGACGGCAGCAAAGAAACTTGCATGGTTACCCACTACCTTTGATATGCAGTGCTCTGAAGAAGACGGTCAACAAGCAACTCCCAGGGAATCATAGTGATAAAGATGAAAATGCAGGAGCAAAAAGGAAAAGAACTGTCCTCAAACAGTCAACACTATTATATGCATTGACCAGTGGGTCTGTATTACTTAGATTTTTGCTGCAGTGTTCATTTATCTATTCATTAGACTCTCTACCATAAAGTAAGGGGTAAGACAGGAATAGAGGAAGTCTAAGTCCTTGTAACTGCTCTGAAAGACATTCTGGAAAGCTGCTTGACTACACAGAGTTTTGGATTATTTTACTTATCTTACCCTTTCTGTACCCTGTGGCTAATGTAGCAACCAGACTGAAAAATCATAGCTTTTGCTATGTTCTTTAACCATACAGAGAAGTTCAAAATGTTAGAATATGAGTCAGACCTTTGCAAAAATATGCTGTGGGTTCACAAGAGAACCCAGATGAAAGCATGTGATGGGAAAAGCACAAATCTTCCAGTGCTGGAAAAGTGGCTGTCTTGCTGACAGTATCACCTGTAATTTTTTTCTTCAAATTTCTGAATAGCATATTCCCTTATTAATGCATTTAAAAAAAAAAACAAAAAAAAAAAACCCTGAAACATTTAAGTAAGCTCAACCTTTTTATCTTAAGTACTACTTCTTAAGTACTTTAAGTACTTTTAGGGGTACTTTAATCAGAGTTGAGGGATCTCTGTATCTACATCTCCTGGACAGACAATAGGCAATGAGAAGATTAAATGGAAATAACAACAACCCCTACAAGGTAAGCTTCCTGAAGTGATGGCCAGCAACAGCTTAAGTTAAAGAGAAGAAAGGCAGAGGATCAATACCGTAAGATGGGAGCAAGGGGGAGGCGGGCAGGGACAGAAGGCAAAGGAATGAAATCCTTATATCATTTTATATATTTACCGTTACATTTTCCTTAATATTGACTATGCCAACATTATCTTGAGTTAGAAGTTCAGACTGGAGGAGGGAAGAGATGGAGGAGTGATGGGGAGAAATTCTAAGAAGGCATGAAGCTCAAATTTTAGTGAATCATTAATGTGAATGTGTTAAAAACATTACCTCGGCTCCTTTTTCCAGAAGTAACTCCACACAGTCAGCATCTGACACCATACAGGCACAGTGCAAGGGCTTCAGAGTGCCATGGGTGCAGTTCACATCTGCTCCCTGTGGGCAGAAGAAAACTCCGGTCAGTGTGCTCAGCTCCAGCTTGCCCAGCAGGACAGGATTCAGAACTGAGTCCAGGGGATAGAGTTCTAACTCTATTTTATAGATACACTGCTAGTTCCTTGTTTCCTTTTCTATTAATTAAACAATATAATGCCAATGTCCAAACCAAAGGAGTACATTGAAGATGAAGGAAAGCAACTGTTAATTCCTTAGATCAAGTTACTGTTTCTCCACAAGGTAGCCTGCCAGATGGTCATCTGGACATCACTGAAGACATAATCTTTTTTTTTTTTTGAGACGGAGTTTCACTCATGTTACCCAGGCTGGAGTGCAATGGTGCGATCTTGGCTCACCGCAACCTCCGCCTCCTGGGTTCAGGCAATTCTCCTGCCTCAGCCTCCTGAGTAGCTGGGATTACAGGCACGCACCACCATGCCCAGCTAATTTTTTGTAGTTTAGTAGAGACGGGGTTTCACCATGTTGACCAGGATGGTCTCGATCTCTTGACCTCGTGATCCACCGCCTCGGCCTCCCAAAGTGCTGGGATTACAGGCTTGAGCCACCGCGCCCAGCCTTGAAGACATAATCTTATGTGTCAAAGCACTGGAAACCTTATCATCAGACAGGAAAGCTGGACCAACAATCCACTTTCTATGGCCACCATATTCTGAAAAAGTAGGAAACCGAGTCTGTCAGACTGAAGCTAGAACTGGCATGCTCTTTTGGCCATTCAACAAATGACCATCACTAATAGTAGCATCATCTTAACACTATTTTTCCTTGTTTATAAACATCTTCAAAGTGGCCTCTTAGAATCAGCATTCTTTACCACCTAGCTTTTGCTAGTGCTTCTATTCAAAATCAAAGGAGAGGGGATGCGGTGGCTCACACCTATAATCACAGCACTCTGAGAGGCTGAGGCGGGCAGGTCACCTGAGGTCAAGAGTTTGAGACCATCCTGGCCAACATGGTGAAACCTCCGACTCTACTAAAAATACAAAAATTAGCCAGGCAGGGTGGCTGGCGCCTGTCATCCCAGCTACTCAGGAAGCTGAGGCAGAAGAATCACTTGAACCTGGGAGGTGGAGGTTGCGGTGAGCGGAGATCGTGCCATTGCACTCCAGCCTGGGCAACAAGAGTGAAACTCCATTTCAAAAAAAAAAAAAAATCAAAGGAGATGGAGATACCAGTCAGACTGAAGTCACTGAATGACTCAGCAGCAGAGCTAGAATTAGAATGTGACAAAATTTCTACCGTGGAGTCTTCCGACACCACTTTTGCTGAGAATAAGCTAACACTGCATGACTTTTCCTTCTCCAGTCATGCCCAATAACTCTGAGGCAGCTCTAGAGATCCAGGCTGTAAATGAGGAGCTTAAAAGTCTTAAAAAAGAATATATAGAAGTAACTATCTGGATGCATTTTCTGGTGATCAAAAAATTACTCTGTTAACTTCTCTTCAACAAGACAAATACATAGAAGAGGATAGTAAAGACCTAGGATACTAGTCATATAACACTTATTGAAGAGTGGTGATTAAATATCAGCTAATTAAGGTGTTTTCTTAAACTATAATTACCATGCATTTTAGGGGTTGATATCCTCTACAGAACCAGAAGTGGTAGCTGCCTTTAACATAGAACGTAAGTAAAAAATCTCTCCATTGTAATTATTATAACTCAGGTATGAAGAAGGGGTCACAAGGATTTAAAAACCACCTCTGTATCCAGGCACAGTGGATCACTTGAGCTTAGGAATTCAAGACCAGCCTGGGCAACATGGTGAAACCCTGTCTTTACAAAAAAATTAAAAAAAAAAAAAAAAAAAAAAATAGCTGGACATGGTGGCATGTGCCTGTAGTCCCAGCTACTTGAGGGTGCTGAGGTGAAAGGTTCGCTTGAGCCTGGGAGGTCAAGGCTGCAATGGGCCAACTTCGCACCACTGCACTCCAGCCTGGACAAAAGCGAATTCCTGGCTCAAAAAATAAAAATAAAAACCACCTCTGCTTTGCCCACCTCCTCCGTTAGTAAAACATGTAGAGAAGACTTTGAGTTCAATGGATTACATACGCATCATACTAGATATTTTACAAAGAACATGAGACTAGGGTTATTGAGAACATACTCCAAGAAGAAAAATGTCAGATACACAAAGGGAGAAGGGAAGCAAAGCAAACATGGGGAAATGCATTTTAATGATCAAGTTAATGCATTTAACAAAATGTAAAAACTCCTTGTGATCTTGGGCTGAGTCAAGGAGGATTTACATGAGGATTTATAGAGCTTTCCCACTTCACATCGCAAAGGACTCTCCTGTCAATACTAGCACACTTACCCCTCTGATGAGGTCCTCTACATTATCATGTGGGAAGGAACGGATGGCAGCAATTGTTCGGATTAAGCGCTCCGAAAGAGAGTATTTGCTCTGAATGCTCTGCATAATATACCACATACTGGAACTCATCAAGGTTCAAGGTGTTCACATGCTCCAAACTGCCTGAAACAAAGAAGTTTTAGGCGTATATATCACTGAGCACCCCTGTCTTTAGGGTTAGGTGTTTCTCTGATGCCTTCCCAATACTAAAAGCAGATTTCAAGGAGTGATTAACACTATTTTCATAACCATAAGGAATTGAATTATAATAGTTGCCTAGGGAGTTGGAAAAACCTGGACACAAATGTTTTACTCTAGTCTAGCACAAGATTTCCCTAAGAGGTACTAAGACCCCTATGGAGCTCTGTGTGGTTTACAAACAAGACTAGGCAAGGAATAGGATTTTTGAAAGGCTGAAGAGGTCACAAAACATTATTTTTCTTCTTTGAATTTTTGTGGTTTTTATGATCAGCACCACCATTAAGTTATTTATAACACTGGGCCTTGCAATATAGTTATGTACATATTGTTTCTCCACCTAAACTGTAATCAACTAGAAGGCAAGCACTTGGTCTTCTACTTTTTCACCCATGTAAGGCCAGCCACAGAATCTCACAAAAGGCAGGTATTTAACAAATATTGGTTGGTTGACTAACTAAACAGTATAGAAGTGATTGTTACCTGTGAAAAGAGAGGAAGAAGGCTATGGAGCAAATAGATCTATCTTAATAATGAAAAGGCATCTGAAATATTTTGAAATGTCTTCAGCAGAGGGAAAAAAAGGAAATATTTGAGGTAATATTCTAAAATAAGAAAGGAAAGCAAATGTATAACTACTCTAGAGTCGTCTATATAAAACTAGGAGAAAATTAAAGTTCATAGTAAAATATGCTTTCAGTTTTAGAAAAATATCCTAGCACTTTGTGAGGGGGAGGTCAGTGGATTGCCTGAGATCAGGAGTTCGAGACCAGCCTGACCAACATGGTGAAAGCCCATCTGTACTAAAAATACAAAAAAATTAGCTGGGTCTGGTATCATCCACCTATAATTTCAGCTACTCGGAGGCTGAGGCAGGAGAATTGCTTGAACTGGGAGGCAGAGGTTGCAGTGAGCTGAGATTGCACCACTGCACTCCAGGCTTGGCAACGGAGTAAGACTCCATTTCAAAAAAATAAATGAGTTAAAATTTTTTTTTTCTAAGGTGGAGTCTTGCTCTATCACCCAGTCTGGAGCATAGTGGCACAATCGGCTCACTGCAACCACCACCTCCCAGGTTCTAGCAATTCAGCCTCCTGAGTAACTGGGATTACAGGTGCCCACCACCACACTCAGTTAATTTTTTGTATTTTTAGTAGAGAAAGGCTTTCACCATGTTGGCCAGACTGGTCTTGAACTCCTGACCTTGTGATCCACCTGCCTCGGCCTCCCAAAGTGCTGGGATTACAGGTGTGAGCCACCATGTCCCGTCTTTAACTTGCTTTAAAATCTGCATATTTTTCTAAAACTGTGAGCCACCACGCCCAGCCAAAATTTTTAATAATTAGCTATTCGTGACAACTGAGAAATAGACTTGGTGAAATACATGTTGAAACCACAATAAGACAGAGTTCTAGGATGGAAGAAGAAAATAATGCAATATACTTCAATTCAACTTAAAAGGTTTGGCTGTATAAGAGACAAGAGTTAGGGACCATTTAAAATTACAGCCAGTAAGGTAGAGCATTTCTATGAAACAACACATATCAAAAACTATAGAGAAAACATAATACACAGTATCAGTTCTCTAGGTGCAAGTGCTTAGAAATCTCTGTCCTTATTATAAGCTCCTCGGGAATAACGATACTGATTTTCTTCAACAGTACCTGACACATGGTAGGTTCTAAATATCTGTTGAACCAATGTAAAGTTGATTACTTGAGATCCTCAGAAATTTAAGACGAAGTAAATAAGCACATTATGCATATAAAATTGTTTTGGTCATTTAATAATACATAATTTTTTTGGCAGGGCATGGTGGCTCATGCCTGTAATCCTGGCACTTTGGGAGGCCAAGGTGGGCGGATCACTTGAGGTCAGCAGTTTGAGACTAGCCTGACCAACACGGTAAAACCCCATCTCTACTAAAAATACAAAAAAATTAGCCAGGTGTGCTGGCATGCACCTGTAGTCCCAGCCACTTGGGAGGCTGAGGCTGGAGAATTGCTTGAACCTGGGAGGGAACGGATGCAGTGAGCAGAGATGGCACCACTGCACTCAGCTGAGGCAAAAGAGAAAGACTCCATCTCAAAATAATAACATATCATTTTTTGCATTTTTTTTTTTTTTTGAGTCTCACTCTGTCACCCAGGCTGGAGTGCAGTGGCGCAATCTTGGCTCACTGCAACCTCCCCCTCCCAGGCTCAAGCGATTCTCATGATTCAGCCTCCTGAGTAGCTAGGATTTACAGGTGTGCACCACCACGCCTGGCTAATTTTCGTATTTTTAGTAGAGACAGGGTTTCACCATGTTGGCCAGACTGGTCTCAAACTCCTGACTTCAGGTGATCCACCCGCCTCAGCTTCCCAAAGTGCTGGGATTACAGATGTCAGCCACCGTTCCTGGCCAATTAATTTTTGCTTTTTGTGATGAAGTATCCCTTTATGTATTATACACTATAAATTCTGATAGTTTCTTTTTTGTGAATCAGTAGCCATTTATGTTGGATGTAAATTATATTAATCAATAGAATACAAGTTAAAAATATACGTATCGATAATTCAAATTGTGTATTTTTCTCCCCTGTTATCATGCATGAATAAGCTCACACACTTGTTTATATGTCTATGACATTTTCTAGACAGTTTAGATTTGCCATATGTGAGACAAGGGTCTGTATCTTATAATTTTTTTGTTTCAAGGAAAAAGGAAAAAAAAAAAGAGGTGCATTTGAGTTGGAATTCCAAGAATGGGAGCGGAAGACATCGCATCTAAAGCAGTAGGCTTTGACCAAAGTGGTTGTGTTGCCTGTAATCCCACCACTTTGGGAGGCCAAGGCAGGAGGAGCTCTTGAACCTGTAAGTTCAGAACGAGCCTGGGCAACATGGTGAGGTGACCCCCACACCTAACCGTCTGTACAAAAAAAATTCAAATATTAAAATAAATAAAGTGGTTTCATTAACCATTTCTGGGCCACGATAATCTGATGCAACTAAACACTGCAGTCATTTCTGGGGGGCTCTTGGACTCCGGGCTAAGAACTCTTAAGAGTATGGTCAGTGGTCTGCTGCTGCCTGAAAGCTTCCGGTAAAGGAATGAAACTTCAGGGCAAATTAACTGCATTCACTGTCAGGAACTGTCGGAAATCTAAATTCGATCTCATCAGACTGCAGCCGGTGTACGGTTTGGCCCCCTTTTTCAGCTCTGCTAGAGCTGAATGCCCTGTCTCCCTCGTTTTCTTTTGCTACGGGATCCAGAGAAAACACCAAAGGGCATTTATTGCGAAGCTAAAAAAAAAAAAAGGCGGAAAAAAGAAGACACAGCAACTCTAATGCGAGGGAGGCCTCGGCTTCCCCGCCCCCTCCCGCCCCTGAAGAACTCTGGCTGAGCCTGCAGCGCCCCTAATCCCACCACACCTGCTGCGGGAGAGCTCGCGGCAGCTGTCTTGCTGAGGCTAGGGGGCGGGGGGCAAGGGCACGAAATGCAAGGACGTGCGGTTTCAACGCACAGGCTCCCAACAGATCGCAGCACTCCAGGCAGGTCTGCTACGGAAAGAGAATCACACAATTTGTGTTGCGGGGGCCTCAAAAAGGGAACAATTCCCTCCTGGATCTGCCTTCTAAGGCCCGGAACGAAGTCTCAGCCACGAGAGCTAGAGCACTTCGACCTGGGAGTGGAGGAAGCGTTATTGGGCGTGGTACCCTGGGTTGGGAAACCTGGCTGTAGACCTTCCCGCACCAAGAACCGCACTCACCGAATTGCTAGGCTGAGCGGGGTGTGGAAAGCCGCAGTCAAGGGTGACCCGGAAGCAGAACCCCACAGCGGCAAGCCCCTCTGTTTACAGGACAAGAAGACCAACTAAGCTGGGCGCCTGCGCATTGACGAGTGTTCGTAAGCGAGGCGCGCCTGCGCAGACTTGTGCAGCAGCTTCCGTCCTCCCGTGGCCTAGTTAAGGGGTTACTTTCTCTCTTTGCGCATAGGTTATGCGCGCAGGCGCAATGCAACGTTCTCGATTGCCGCGGCGGGGCTCGGGTTTTCGTCCTGCAGTGGGGGAAAAAAGCTCAGGAACTAAGGCTGTTGAGCCGATTCCATATGGTTGCATCTGCGTGGACCAGGCCAGCAGTGGGTCCATCTACAATGGTTTAGTTGCTTAGGAGACTAAACTCTTAATAAGAAGTGTGTTTGGCAAATAAAAATACTTCTGGCATTATTCATATGGTGGAATAAATCTATGCTCCCTAGAACCCTTGTGTACATTGTCCATCCTCCTTCAAGTAAACCATATGAAAGACAAATTCAACCACCCAAGAAGTGTAGTATTCTAAATGTGGCGGAATAAAGTACCTTTATTTATAACTATTCTTAGGGTTAATGAACCTTCCCAAGCAAAGAAATGATGACATCTCTGAGTGACCTCTTTCTGTGCAAAGCATAAACATTTTGAAGTCAGCAGCACATGGTGGTGGTGCATGGAAGGAGTGAAGCAGCGCATTCAGCCAGCCTACAAGAGTTGTGGTCTTCCCGGCAGCCTGTTTAACCAGAGTGCCTCACACCTACTCTCCAAAGCTTGTACTAAACAAACAAATCTAACAATTAGAGATTCAGCCAGGCGTAGTGGCTCACGCCAGTAATCCCAGCACTTTGGGAGGCAGAGGCAGGCGGATCACCCCTGAGACTGGGAATTCGAGACCAGGCTGATCAATGTGGAGAAACCCCGTCTCTACTGGGAAAAAAATAAAAAATACAAAAATACAAAATTAGCTGGACGTGGTGGCGCATGCCCTGTAATCCCAGCTCCTCGGGAGGCTGAAGCAGCAGAATCGCTTAAACCCGGGAGGCAGAGGTTACAGTGAGCCGCGACTGCGCCATTACATTACAGCCTGGGCAGCAAGAGTGAAACTCCATCTCAAAAAAGAAAAAAAAAAAGAGAAATGTAAGCAGGCCCAGACAGTTTGTGTACATCAGGGAAAGGATGTGAACTGAAAGCTCATGACCTGGTCTGAAGAGTGAACCTCCTTTGAGCTCCAAACTCAAAGGAATTTTGCCATGTAGGAATATGCCCTCCACTTCCTGCCACTGCACCATGGTGAAATGGTCCATTTTTTCAAAAGAAGCTGAAATCCAGATTTTTTAAAACAGTGAATTCTTCCAAGTTGCAAATGTTGGCAATTATTTTTTATTTTTGAGATGTAGTTTTGCTCTTGTCACCCAGGCTGGAGTGCAATGGCATGATCTCAGCTCGTTGCAACTTCGGCCTTCCAGATTCAAGCACTTCTCTTGCCTCAGCCTCCTGAGTAGCTGGGACTACAGGCATCTGCCACCACACCTGAATATTTTATTATTTTTTTATTTTTAGTAGAGAAGGGGTTTCACTATGTTGGCCAGGCTGGTCTCAAATTGACCTCAGGTGATCCTGTCTTCTCAGACTTCCAAAGTGCTGGGCTTACAGGCATAAGTCACAATGCTGGGCCACATCTTTCAAATGTCCTGGTTGGAAAATGCTGAAATATATAAATTCTGGGAAACCATCAGCATCTTAAATGTAAGAATGAGTGAAGTCTCCCAGGGAGTGATAAAATAGGCTCTCAATACAGGTTATTTTATTTATTTATTGAAAAACCAAATACACTTTTATTTTACAAGGTGTGCAACTCAGTATATGCAGAAAAGTACTCTATGTCACACTCATGATCAATATCCTTTCATTTCCATTTGGCATGGCATTGAAAACCTAGCACATCATTTAACAAAAAAAATCACATAAAAGACCCCAAGAGAAATAAAACTAACTTATCTTCCCCAAACAATAGATTTCATCTTCATTAGTCAAATCAGCACCTGCTGATAGGGCAGTAGAGCAAACCTGACAGTGATATTCATTAACAAGGAAGACAAAACTTATGCTTTCAAGTATAAAGATCAACTCTGAATGGCAGAGAGCCTAATCTGACTGTTATCAGCCACCAAGAACTCAGAAGAGCAAAGAACTCAAGAAGAGAGAAGCCAAAGCACTATGAAAATTATTCTTTTCTGTGAAATTCAGTCCTACAGCCTGCATGAGCAAGGGTCCAAAACACTGGCGAGCTGACAAAGCTACTGGGAGAGCCCATTCATCATGGGAGATGCACTGGCTGTGCCTCCCTGTGCTGTGTCCTTCCATGGGCCTCCTCCACTCTTCACTGACTTCATTTTGACTTGGTCCTCTGGTCTCACCACAGCTACTTGAGAGACTTTGAGTTGTAATCTTACAGTTCCAAGAATCTATTTTGACTGAACCCAAGAGTAACATGCTCATTCAAAATAGAAATGTTCTCATGGTAAATGGTACAAAGGCCATTCCATATATATATATATATATTTCTATGGAAGACAAAGCTTCCTTCCTCTTTTTTTTTTTTTTCCTTTTTTTGAGATGGAGTCTCACTCTGTCACGCAGGCTGGAGTGTGGTGGCACAATCTCAGCTCACTGCAACCTCCACCTCCCAAGTGATTCTCCTGCCTCGGCTTCCCAATTAGCTAGAATTACAGATAGGTACCACCATGCTTGGCTAATTTGTACTTTTAGTAGAGACAGGGTTTCACCATATTGGCCAGGCTGGTCTCAAATTCCTGACTTCAGGTGATCCACCCACCTCGGCCGCCCAAAGTGCTGGCATTACAGGTGAGAGCCACCGCGCCTGGCTGCTTCCTTCCTCTTTAACAAGAAAATATTGCACCCAGCATCACTGCTTTGGCTAGCTCTTTTTTCCTGTGTGCTCTGATGTGTGCAGCAATTGAACCAGCTACAATTTCTGCATTCTTCCTGGTCTGGCCAAAACAATCTGGAAACTCACCATGTGGCGCAATCAAAGACATTATTATTGTATGATTCACTAACATAGTCTTCATCTTCATCCTTGGGGCTAGAGCTGTGATATACTGTGTATTCTCTGGCCACGTGATTGATCTCCTCTTTTGTGCTAACCAATTTGGGAGAAAATTCTTTCACATAATTTACAATGGCTTTTTTGTGTCCCTTTCTGGGTCAGTGGTGATGAAAAGCAGAGTTAAATGTGGCAGAGTTGAAATACTATCACATCCACAACTTGAATCATTTTTTCTAGTTCTTCTGGACAGATATCAGGGTAATGACTGAAACCAAAATAAATCAGCAGCCACCGACCCAGGTAGTCCTTGTCAGTTTTAGGCTCTCCAAACGTGTTGTGAGGAAAAATGGTCCCCCAATGAAGGCTTGTTGTTGCTTCACTATCGTTCCTTCTCTAGCTCTCTGTTTTTTCTATCTTGAAGTACTTCACTCCAGCCAGTAAACCTCCTCCAATAGCAAATGTGAATGATAAAGATTTCCAGGAAATAGGCCTGGGATTCAAGGGGCATGTGCAGTCTCTGCAGCCCTTCTGCTCAGGCCCTGACCACCTCAAGGGTGCTTGGTGGCCTCACCACCTGAGAGGCCAGATTGCCAGGCAGCCATCAGTGAGACCCTAGTCCTGCCACACTTCCTCTTGCATGCAGAATTGCCTTGGCAAGACTATCACAAAATTGCCCTGGCAAGACTCTACTTGGCTGGGCCCCAAAGCTCATGTCAGCCAGGCAAGAGACACCAAAGTTAGCCCATACTGGTTACTTTGAAGTGTCTCTGAGAATTCAGTGCACAACAAAAGTTGGTTTCAGTTATATTCAATCATCCTTTCATCAAACATTTACTGAGCACCTAGTTTCTTCCAGGCTTTGTGCTCAACTCTCCAGGGAAGACAGAAATGGAGAGAGGCAGTCTCTTATTATCAAGGGTTGGGAAACAGTTATGAACATCCTCAATTGCAATTAAAGATGATTACTTCAACAACACTGTTATGTCTAAAGTCAGTGTTGACAAACAGTTCTACCTCATGGTGGGATCAAGAGAGTGAAGGAAGAATGGGTCCGTGAAGAGGCTTCTTGGGGAGAAGTTTGTATGTGCTGAGTCCCCACTCTCCTGCTACCCAGATGGAGAAGTGCTGATGTTGCCTAAAGAGGGGCTTCTGTGGGACCAGAGAGCTTGAAGATAGTTCCCCATAGTTGTAAGACAAAGAACTGCACCAATGCTCACTTATAAAGTAAAGAGGGCTGTGGCCACAAAGTAGAGGTGGCTGCATTGGGATCTGTCTGGAGACCCAGATTCAGCAGGGATAATGAATGTATAAATGTTTCCCTGGACCAGATGTGGATCACATGAAAAACAGCCAATGTGGGGTTGCCTTTGTTCTATCAAAAGGGGCTGTCTAGAGGTATGGGAGGATACAGTGGCCAGAAGCCAGAAATGAACACAGGAATCCTACAATCAACAGTGCCAAAAGAACTCAAGTGAGAGATCTCTGATGATGGGAATCTGCAAAGAATCTTTAAAAGCACACTTTAAGAAAAAGAGTCAGCTTTAACCAACTGCAAGACCCAGGTAGTGCAGACCTACCCTACCAAGAAAGAAAGAACTGCCCTATCTCCTCAGCTTTCCTACCTCCTCCCACTGTTACACGAGCAGATTCAATAGCAGTTAGCTAGTGGGGGAGGAAGGAAGTTGAGGAGAAAGCTATAGGCAGCCATCAGGCATATGTCTTACATGGAGAAGGAGGAAGAGCAGTCTTCGATTAGTAGCTTGGAATGAAGACCGAAGTATTTGATTACCGTTTTGAACTGGAAATATTCTAATTACTAAATTGAGACTATTTGGTTTAAATAGTTAAATATTCAAATAGTTAAAGGATTGCCAGTTATCAAAGAGTGAACCAAAAAGTCAGAAAATCCCCCCAATTTTCTATTCAGAAGCAGGAGAAGATTATTATCTTCCCATAGAAAATGTTTTTGTTTCTTTGTTTGAGAAGGAGTCTCACTCTGTTGCCCAGGCTGGAGTGCAGTGG